GTGTGTGTGTGTGTGTGTGTGTGTGTGTATGTGCAAACATAGATACTCAATGCATAAGTTTATTTCCTTTTTATAACCACATTATTGATTAGTGAAAAAAAATAGTTATATGCACAGACTGCATAAACCCACAATTCTCCACCAGTATCCTTAGGCTTCAAGCCTAAATGTGCTAAAATCCAATCATGACATAACATGATACAACTATAAATAAATATAAGGCAAAATCTTCAACAAAACAAGTAAATAGTGACAGAATCTGGGAATATGTAGTTATTGCTGACTGCTGTATACCACATAACATCAATGCAATGTTCAAGAAGCTAAATGAGCGACTGGTGTTTTCTACACTGAAGTTTTTCAACCACATCTTGTGAACTTCCCAAAGGATGAAAGGCAAGGCTAAGCTATTTGATATCACATAGCCCAAATCTATGTACAACATGAGACAGACCAACAATGCCAAGGGTACAGGTGATGTGAAGCAAGTGATGACTTTGGAATTAGTCTCACTTTGTGGACTCAAAAAACTTGCACTCTGCGGACCCGGGGAAGGAGTTGACAGCAGATTGTGTAAAGTTTCAAGGTCATTAGGGCTTGATCCAAAGACATCATTCTGCTGGTTTCTGTTGGTTGTGGCATTGTGGTTATGATTTGTGTTTGGCTGGCTTCCAGTATCAACCAAGAGGGTAGGTTCCACTTTCAAGTCTGTGGAAGAAAAAAGATCACAGTTTAACATTTCAACAATACAAAGAACCCTAAAACAATCGTTTTCAGGATAGTTATGATGGTAACATCAACTGCAATTAATTCTAAAGCTTTTATTTCTGATATCTTGCTAAGATTACATGTAATAATGAAGATTTAACTGAAAACACCCACTTATATCTCTTGCGCTGTTTTTTTATTCATTCTCATTTACATCCTTCCTTACATGTGTCATCATGAACCCTGATCATCATTTTGGTATGTTTTAGATTAAGAACAAAATTAAACAAAAAAGATATATTTCACAAATAAATTCTAATTCAGTTCAATTTACTTGGCAGTGCTACATATGTCAGCAATACAGAAAGGTAAATAAACATCTCACCGATACCGCAGTAACATAATTCGTCTTCACAGTTGCTGTTAATGTCATTCAAATTTTGTAAAAGCAAAAATATTTATTAACTGCTCCTTATGCCATCTTGTCACACCCTACCCATCTCTGCCTCACCGCCTCCTAGATCTTTCCACCACTCCCAAGAGGGAACCAGTGATGTATGTAAATGTAAAAACACTGACTGCATCCACAGAGAAAGGCTGAATAGCTGCAGCTGTCATACTATGAAAAAGCTGAATCCCTAGTCATAATTTTCCCAACAATCATATATGTGATATTGTTTGAAGTGGTACAGTAATACATAAAGGCTAGTCTTACATGAACCGTATTAATGTTGACAAATGTAGAAAAGGTATGACTGAGAATGAATATCTTTACAAAACAAGAGATGTATTTGACCAGAAGATATATATTTGAAACTGGTCAAATACATCTCTTGCATTGTGAAGATATTCATTCTCATTCATACCTTTTTATACATCAGTCGTACATGTATATTTTTTTAAAGCATTTAACATTACTTCGTCAATGCCACTGATACAATCTCAGTCCTCAATGCTCCCATTAAAAATTAAAAAAAGATGAATATGATATATACTAATATATAATATATAATATAATACCATATATATATAAATATAAATATATAATATATATATATATATATATATATATATATATAATATATATATATATATATATATATATAATATATAATATATAATAATAATAAATTATATATATAATATATAATATATAATATATATATATATATAATATATATATATATATATATATAATATATATATATATATATATATAATATATAATATAATATATATATATAATATATAATATATATAATATATATAATATATATATATATATATATTATAATATTATATATAATTATATAAATATATATAAATATATATAATATATATATATATGTATAATTATTTATATACATAATATATAAATATATATAATAAATATATATATATATATATATATGTATAATATATATATAATGTATATAATATAATGTATATAATATATATAATATATATAATATAAATATAATATATATAATGTTATAATATAATGTTATAATATATATAATGTATAATATATATAATGTATATATAATATATATATAATATAAATATATATATATAATATATATGATATAATAATATATATCATAGTAATATATATCAATGTATATAATATATATCATGTATATAATATATATGTATATATAATATATCATGTATATTATATATCATGTATATAATATATAATGTATATAATTTATAATGTATATAATTATATAATGTATATAATATATAGAATATATATAATATAGATATATATAATATAGAATATATATAA